GGACGTAGATTTAGGTCTTTAATCCACGTTGAGTGGATTTTTGTGTAAGGTGTAAGGTAGGGGTCTTGCTTCATGCTTCTGCACGTGGAAATCCAGTTTTCCCAGCACCATTTATTGAATAGACTGTCCTTGCTCCAGGGATTAGTTTTAGATCCTTGATCAAATATAAGTTGGCTGTAGATGTTTGGATTGATTTCTGGCGTTTCAATTCTGTTCCATTGGTCTATCCATCTGTTTCTGTACCAGTACCATGCTGTTTTGATTACAACTGCCCTGTAGTATGTCCTGAAATCTGGTATTGTGATGCCTCCGGCTTTGTTTTTGTTGTACAAGATTGCTTTAGCTATTCGAGGTCTCTTGTGCCTCCATATGAATTTCAGCATCATTTTTTCTAGATCTGAGAAGAATGTGTTTGGAATCTTGATTGGGATTGCATTGAATCTATAAATTGCTTTTGGGAGAATGGACATTTTGATGATGTTGATTCTTCCCATCCATGAGCATGGAAGATTTTTCCATTTTTTGGTATCCTCTTCTATTTCTTTCTTTAAGATTTTGTAATTCTCATCGTAGAGATCTTTAACGTCCTTGGTTACGTTTATTCCAAGGTATTTGATTGTTTTTGTAGCTATTGTGAATGGGATTGATCTTAGCAGTTCTTTCTCAGTCATGGCATTGCTTGTGTATACAAAGGCTGTTGATTTTTGTGCATTGATTTTATATCCTGCCACTTTGCCAAACTCCTCTATGAGTTCCAATAGTCTCTTAGTAGAGTTCTTTGGATCCTCTAAGTACAGAATCATATCGTCTGCAAAGAGGGATAGTTTGACTTCTTCCTTCTCGATTTGTATTCCTTTGATTTCTTTTTCTTGTCTGATGGCTCTGGCTAAAACTTCCAGAACTATGTTAAATAGCAGTGGTGAGAGTGGGCATCCCTGCCTGGTGCCAGATTTCAGTGGAAATGCTTCCAACTTTTCCCCATTCAATAGGATGCTGGCCGTGGGTTTTTTATAAATTGCTTTGATTATATTGAGGAATGTTCCTTCTACACCCAATTTGCTTAGAGTTTTCATCATGAAAGGGTGTTGAATTTTATCAAATGCTTTCTCTGCATCAATTGAGATAATCATATGGTTTTTGTTTTGCAGTCTGTTAATGTGGTGAATCACATTGATTGATTTGCGAATGTTGAACCATCCCTGCATACCAGGGATGAATCCCACTTGGTCTGGGTGGATGATTTTCCTGATGTGTTGTTGTACTCTATTGGCCAGAATTTTATTGAGGATTTTTGCGTCTATGTTCCTCAGGGATATTGGTCTGTAATTTTCTTTCAGTGCTGCATCTTTCTCTGGCTTAGGGATTAAGGTGATGCTGGCTTCCTAGAAAGAATTTGGGAGGATTCCCTCTTTTTTGATTGTTCTGAATAGTTTGAGAAGAAATGGGATTAGTTCTTCTTTAAATGTCTGGTAGAATTCAGCAGTGAATCCATCTGGTCCTGGGCTTTTCTTTGTTGGGAGGGCCTTTATTACTGTTTCAATTTCTGTTTCAGTTATGGGTCTATTTAGGTTTTCTATGTCTTCATGGTTCAATTTTGGTAGATTGCATGTGTCCAGGAATCTATCCATTTCTGATAGGTTTTCCTGTTTGCTGGCATACAGGTCCTTGTAGTAATTTCTGATGACTCTTTTTATTTCTGTGGTGTCTGTTGTTACGTTTCCTTTTTCATCTCTGATTTTATTGATTTGGGTCTTTTCTCTTCTTTTTTTAGTTAGTTGGGCCAATGGGGTGTCAATTTTGTTTATTTTTTCAAAAAACCAGCTTCTCGCTTGGCTGATTTTTTGTAGTGTTTTTTTTGGATTCAATCCTGTTAATTTCTTCTCTGGTTTTAATTATTTCTCTTCTCCTACTAGATTTGGGTTTGGTTTGCTGCAGTTTTTCTAGGTCCTTGAGATAGGCTGAAAGCTCATTTATTTGGTACCTTTCCAATTTCTTGATATAGGCACCTATTGCTATAAATTTGCCTCTCAATACTGCTTTTGCTGTATCCCATAAGTTTTGATATGTTGTGTTGTTGTCTTCATTTACTTCCAGAAAGTTTTTGATTTCTCTTTTGATTTCTTGAATGACCCAGTGTGCATTCAGGAGCATGTTGTTCAGTCTCCATGTGTTTGCATACTTTCTGGGGTTTCCTGAGTTGCTAATTTCCAGCTTCATTCCGCTGTGGTCTGAGAAGCTGCATGGTATGATTCTAATTCTTTTAAATTTGCTGAGACTTGCTTTATGGCCTAGTATGTGATCAATCCTGGAGAAGGTTCCATGCGCTGCTGAGAAGAATGTGAAGTCTGTAGATGTAGGGTTGAAAGTTCTGTAGATATCTGTTAGATCCATTTGGGCAATAGTGTCAATTAAATCTGCTGTTTCCTTGTTGATCTTCTGTCCGGATGATCTGTCTATTTCTGAGAGTGGAGTATTGAAGTCCCCCAGTACTATTGTATTGGAATCTAAATCTCCCTTTAAGTCCCTTAACATATCTTTTAAATAGACTGGTGCCCTGTAATTAGGTGCATATACATTTATAATAGTTACATCTTCCTGTTGAATTGAACCCTTAATCATTATATAGTGTCCCTCTTTGTCTCTCTTAACAGTTTTTGTATTAAAGTTTATTTTGTCTGATATTAATATGGCTACACCTGCTTTTTTTTTGGTTTCTGTTGGCATGGAATATCTTTTTCCAACCTTTCACTTTCAGTCTGCTTGCCTCTTTGTTAGAGAGATGTGTTTCTTGTAGGCAACAAATAGTTGGGTTGTGTTCTTTGAGCCAGTCAGCCAAACGGTGTCTTTTACCTGAAGAATTCAGACCATTAATGTTCAATGTGACTATTGATACGTAGTGACTTTGCCCTGCCATTTTCTAGTATATGCTTTGAGCTTCCCATGCTCTTTTACTGGTAGGTGTTCTTCCTTTCCCTTCTTTCATATTGATGGCCGTGTTTCTGTGTTTCTGAGTGTAGCACATCTTTAAGTATCTTTTGCAGGGCCGGACGAGTGGCCACAAAGTCCTCCAATTTCTGTTTGCTATGAAAGGTCTTTATTTCACCTTCATTCACAAATGAGAGCTTGGCAGGATATAATATTCTGGGCTGGCAATTTTTTTCTCTTAGCACCTGTGCTATGTCTCGCCATTCCCTCCTAGCCTGTAGTGTTTCTGATGAGAAGTCTGCTGTGAGTCTGATTGGAGATCCTCTGAGAGTAATCTGACGTTTCTCTCTTGCACATTTTAGGATCTTTTCTTTATGTTTCACTGTGGTAAGTTTAATTACCACGTGTCGTGGTGAGGATCTCTTTTGGTCATGTTTATTGGGGGTTCTATGAGCTTCCTGTACTAGGATGTCTCTGTCCTTCTCCAAACCTGGAAAGTTCTCTGCTAGTATCTCACTAAAAAGGCCTTCTAATCCTTTCTCCCTCTCCATGCCTTCAGGAACTCCTAGAACTCGAATGTTGGTTTTTTTAATAGTATCCTGTAGATTCCCAACAATATTTTTTAGATTTCTAATTTCCTCTTCTTTTCTTTGGTTTGACTGTATGTTTTCCTGTGCTCTATCTTCTAAGTCCGATATTATCTCTTCTGCTTCACCCATTCTGTTTTTAAGGCTTTCTAATGTGTTTGTCATTCGCTCTATTGAGCTCTTCATTTCATTTTGATTTCTCTTCACTATCACACTTTCCTGTTCTACTAGTTTCTGAGTTTCATTTTGACTCTTCCTTAAAATTTCATTTTCACGAGAGAGATTTTCAATCTTGTCCAATAAGGATTTCTGTAGTTCAAGGATTTGCTTTTGAAAACTTCTAAATGTTCTTATCATAAATTTTTTGAAATCCGTATCTTGCATTTCTTCTATCTCATCATCTTCATAATCTTGGCTTGGGGACTTTTGCTTATTTGGAGGCATCATAGTGTCATCGTTGATCTTGTTCCCTCTATTTCTGTGTTTGTTACTCGGCATAGTTAATTCTTCTTGCGTCACTGTGCGTTTTTTTTTTTTTTTTTACTGTGTCCGTGTTAAGTGGACTGCCTGCTGATGGAGGAGCCTTGTAGGCTTGAGATGGGTGCTGCCTGAGAGCTCTGCCTGGTTCTTCCTGGTTAAGGGTGTGCAAAGGTGACACCCTCAGGCTTATGCGTGGTAAATCTCTCTCTTTTTATTTATTTATGTATTTTATTTATTCAGGGGGTAAGTAACACCGCAGGGCTTCCAGTCTTTGGCTTCTACCCGCAGAGTCCCAGAGTCCCTTAGGCTCCTCTGGAGTCCCACTGGGTTGCCTAGGCTACTGAATTGTAGTGACTCAGTTCCTTAGCTCTCCCCCATTGGTATGTAAATCCAGAGAGGGGGCCTGCTCTTTGTCTCTTGGGAATTCTTCAAGCCTTGCAGCCTTGTAACCTTTGCAAGGTTAGGGGGAAGAGAAACCTGGAAGCTTTTTTTCCTTCTTTCCGGTAGTGAGTTTGCTGCACTTTCCGGCCCCCCTCTAGATTCTGACCCCGTTTCCCCACCAATGTCTCGGGTTATTGAGCTCACCTCCCCTTCCAGCGCCGATGTGAGGACTCGGAGCCCTGAACATCCCAAGTCTCCCCGCTGTTGTGTGTGTGGCATGCACTCCCCTTTGAGCACTGGCGCGCAGACCCTGCTCGGTCCCGCGGCTTGGCTTCCACGCGGTGGGCGACCTTGTTCTCCCAGTAGATCCTCCGATTCACGGCCACTGGATCCAGAAGAGTTTCCCCTGCAACATTTTCCTGGTTCTTTTTTCTGAGGCTACCGTAACTCCCCTTTTATTAAACTAAATTTTCCCGGACTATCGGTGCGCGCCCTCACTATTCCGCCATCTTGGCTCCACCCCCTACTTGGTTTAGTTTAGCCTTGGCACTGGAGACATTGGATTTGAGACCTCCAGTGTCCTCCCACTATCTGCTGGGATGGAGATTGGTCCTCTTGGGGACCCACCCCGTCCGTGAGCCCAGGCAGACCTGCTGCCTTCAGGACATCCAGAGCAAACATCAGAAATTCGTGGGCGTCTTCCTGCCTGTTTGTGTGAAAGCCAGCAGCCAGCACTTGACAGGGCTGGATCACGTCGCCAGGACTGTGGAGGGCCCAGAGAAAGTGCGTTTCCACGGCACACAGAATGCAGCGATCCGAACGACGACAGCTTTGAGAATGCACCTGGGACAGCATATAGTTGGCGAGGGGTGGGGTATACGTGAGACACTGCAGGGCTGCATTCAGGTAGCAGGTGTTGCCCGTATTCTGCAGACCGGCCCCAATGCCATAAGGTCTCTTCCAGCTGCAGCTCAGAGAAGCTCCTCCACTGGGAGCCAGATGGGTCGCCCCCGAAGCCAAATCACTTTGCAGCGGGAGCTCTTTCTGAGGTGAGGGTGGTGATTTCCCTGGGAGACAAACACCACCATGAGTATCATCCCCCTCTGAGCTAGAATGGGAAAGTTGGCGTGTTGGCAAGTCATTAAAGTGGAACTCACCTTCCTTGAGAGGTGAAGCAGCCATCATGTCTCCAGGAGCCACTGTCACAAGGCAGCAAGATGCTTCCACCTCTGAGACTGGCATCCAAGGACCACCTACCTGTTCCTCTCCCCCCTCCTTTTATAGTCCACACTGCATGTCACACCCTGGACCTGCTACAGGACCCTCCCATCCGCTTCCAGCCCTTGATGGGATTAGGGGCTTTAGGGTGTGGTCTCACGCCCTCACAGCCTCTGGGCCTTCACCGCTTGATTCCACTACCTGGGGAAGATGCATGTGAAGGATAAGGCTTTCATGTGCCTTGTGGAACTTGGTGATGTGCCATGATGTGCTTCTATGTGCCTTGGAGTTCTTCAAGGAAAACAAAGAAGAATGCTGGAGAGACTGATGGCTGAAAGCAGGTTTTGGGTTTTAGTTTGCTGAGCCCTTATAAAGGAACATTTTAACTTTTGTTTAGTTTTGCAATTCTGTACATATTCTCCAAAGAAGCTTTTTACGTATGGAATACAACCCTTCCAACCCTTCTCCTCATTCATCTGCCATTCCCCGTCCCATTCTCCATTAAGATATATTTTCTTCTTTTTTAAATGGTTCTTTATTTATTGGAAAGTCAGAGTTACACAGAGCGAGGAGAGGCAGAGAGAGAGAGAGAAAGAGAGAGAAAGAGAGAGAGAGGGTTCCATCCGATTACTCACTCCCCTACTGGCCTAAAAAGCAAGAGTTGCACCAATCTGAAGCCAGGAGACAGAGGCTTCCTCCATGTCTCCCATGCAGGAACAGTCGGCCAAGGGCTTGGGCCATCTTGTCCTGCTCTCCAAGGCCATAACAGAGAGCTAGATTGCAAGTGGAGCAGCCGGGTCTCAAACCAGTGCCCATACGGGATGCTGGCATTTCAGGACAGGGCGTTAACCCACTGCACCACAACGATGGCCCCTATACTACTTTTCTAAGATTTCCATATGAATTTGAAAGGTGCTGTTATGTAGAGGCACAGGGAGGGACGCATGAAGGGAGAGAGACTGAGAGAGAGAGAGAGAGAGAGAGAGAGAGAGAGAGAGAGGTTGTCCTTCCAATGGTTCACTCCCCAAATTGCCACAACACGTGATCTGTGCCTATCCACATCCTTGAGCCAGAAGCTTCTTCCAGGTCTGCCATGTGTGTGCAGAGGCCCAAGGTTGCAAGCCACCTTGTCCTGCTTTCCCAGGCCATAGCAGAGAGCTGGATCGGAAGTCAAGCAGCTGGGACTTGAACCCGCGCCCATATGGGATGCCAGCACGGCAGGCGGCGGCTTTCCCTGCTCTGTCACAGTGCCGGCCCCTCCATGATGTGCTGGTATGTGCTTCCATTTCTGAAATGCAAACAAAGAAGAACGCTGGAAAGACTAAGAGTGGAAAATAGGTTTCTTTATTTGGTAAACCCTTAGAAAGGCATACTTTAATTTCCTTGGTTTAGTTTTACAGTTTTAATTTAGTTACTTTATTTCAAACAAGGTACACACACACACACACACACACACAACTGTTTGAAAACACATTGTGGGGAGCAATCTGGACTGGACTAAGTTACTGGAATTAAGATTTATTCTATGCATCTGCTCTCCCACAATATGGCGCTGGGAGAGAAGTAAACAGCTTCCGCACAGCTGCCTCCAGTTCAACTAATAAACTGTAGGACTTGCTCCTGATTGGAGGAGAGCAGCGTACTCGGCGTGTGGGCAGCCGAGTTAGGATTGGCGGAGGAGGACTATAAAGGAGGAGAGAGACGGCATGCACCGGGGAACATCTATGGGGAACATCTAAGGGAACCCGTGCAGCCCCCGAGAGAACCGGCCGGCGGTGTGCCGCTCCCCTGCGGAAGTGGGGAATGTGGCCAGGGGGAACTGCCCTTCCACGGAGGTGGAAGGGATAGTAGCCAACCCGGGAAGAACCAGCAGCAAACCCGGGAAGGGCCGAGCAGACGAAAGAACAGCGCAGGGTCCTGTGTTGCTCCTCCACGAAGAGGGGGAGCGACATAATGGTGCCGTGACTCAGATATGAAGCCTAGGCAGGGTTTAGTGTTGCTCCTCCATGAAGAGGGGGAGCGACATAATGGTGCCGTGACTTGGATATGAAGCCTAGGCAGGGTTTAGTGTCGTTCCTCCACGAAGAGTGGGAGCGACATAATGGTGCCGTGACTCGGATAGGAAACCTAGGACGGATAGAAAACTTAGGAGGGAAGAAACGTGACTCGGATAGGAAACCTAGCTCGCATAGGAAACTTAGGACGGATATGAAACCTAGGATGGAAGAAACGGGAAGAAACGGGAAGAAATGGGAAATTACCGGAGAGAGAGACTAGCAAACAGCCTAGGGAAAAGCCGGACGAAAAAGGTGCCGGAGGAAGCTGTTGAAAGCCTAGGCATAGACTCGGATACGGACTACGGGGGGAAGCTGGGAGAAATCTCTAAGGTCGAAAGCGAAAGTGAAAGCTAGAACAAACAGACTCGGATGCGGACTGTGGGGAGAGGCCAGGAGAAATGAGGGAGGAGTATTGTTGGAGGAAAGTTTGGGGAAACATACCGGGTAGAGAAAAATGTTAGGGAAATTGAAGCCGCGGGGGGCAGGCTGAGGCGGAAACGGAAGCCACTTTGGGGTTCTCAAGTTAGCCCGGGAATAGGGGGCGAAAAGTTGAAACCAGAAGCTGAAACGTGAGCCAGGTTGGGATCCGTCTGATTAGCCCGGGGAGCAAAGGACGGGAAGCCAAACCGTGGGGCGGAGACGTACGCTGGGTTGAATTCGCCAAGCTAGCCCGGGGAACTTAGATTGAATGCTAGTGGCGGACACGTAAGCTACACGCTGTGTGACTCGCGGAGGCTGCCGTGCGCAGAGAGAGCGTGCGGGGCACAAGTAGATAGGGAACGGGGCTGGCGTAGGCCGTGGTGCAGACGCGAAGGGCGTGGAGACCGCGGAGCGCACGAAGCCAAGCCGCGCAAAGCCGGGAAGCTGCGCAGATGAGAGAGGCGCGGGCTGAAGCGGCTTAGCCGGGAAGCCGCCGAGAAGTAGCCTCGGGGCGGGCAGCGGGAAGCTGCGGGGATAAGAGAAACAGAAGTTTGGAAGTGGAGTGAGAGAAATGGGAATGTTGGCAGATAGAAGTAAAATGGGAGAAATAGGAATGCCCGGAGATAGAGAAATAGAGAAATAGAAAGGCCTCCCTACAACACTGCAATGTGAGAGCTTGGATTCGGTCTGCCTGATTAAGTGAGGCGATGAGCACGATGAGCACCTGCGGCGGCTAGCAGCTTATGCGCCGCAGGTCACCGAAGACAGGCACGAATTAACATCAGTAAAGCTTCCCCACAATGCAACAATTAGGAGGCTTGGATTCGGTCTGCCTGATTTAAGGCGGTAAGCGCCAGCAAGCAGCTCGACCAGAGTATGAGCTGCAGGTCACCGAAGATAGGCACAAACCAACACTAATAAGTCTCCCCCACAATACGGCAATGAGAAGGCTTGGATTCGGTTTGCCTGATAGGTTTTGTAAACACCTGCAGGCAGTTCTAGCAGAGCAGAGCATGCGCTGCAGGGCACCGAACACAGGCACGCATCAGCGCCTAAAAACCTCCTCACAATGGCGAAGAGAGGACCCGGATTAGGTTTTCCTGATTGATAGGACTTGTAAGAGCCTGTGGCAACTCTAGCAAGTAGAGCAGAGTGTGTGCCGCGGGACACCGAAGACAGGCGCGTATCAACGCCAAAAAATAAAAAGAAAGGGGGATCTGTGGGGAGCAATCCGGACTGGACTAAGTTACTGGAATTAAGATTTATTCTATGCATCTGCTCTCCCACAATATGGCGCTGGGAGAGAAGTAAACAGCTTCCGCACAGCTGCCTCCAGTTCAACTAATAAACTGTAGGACTTGCTCCTGATTGGAGGAGAGCAGCGTACTCGGCGTGTGGGCAGCCGAGTTAGGATTGGCGGAGGAGGACTATAAAGGAGGAGAGAGACGGCATGCACCGGGGAACATCTATGGGGAACATCTAAGGGAACCCGTGCAGCCCCCGAGAGAACCGGCCGGCGGTGTGCCGCTCCCCTGCGGAAGTGGGGAATGTGGCCAGGGGGAACTGCCCTTCCACGGAGGTGGAAGGGATAGTAGCCAACCCGGGAAGAACCAGCAGCAAACCCGGGAAGGGCCGAGCAGACGAAAGAACAGCGCAGGGTCCTGTGTTGCTCCTCCACGAAGAGGGGGAGCGACATAATGGTGCCGTGACTCGGATATGAAGCCTAGGCAGGGTTTAGTGTTGCTCCTCCACGAAGAGGGGGAGCGACATAATGGTGCCGTGACTCGGATATGAAGCCTAGGCAGGGTTTAGTGTCGTTCCTCCATGAAGAGGGGGAGCGACATAATGGTGCCGTGACTCGGATATGAAGCCTAGGCAGGGTTTAGTGTCGTTCCTCCACGAAGAGGGGGAGCGACACACATTTCACAGTTAACTCTCCTAATGCCATTCATTCAGGACAGAGGTCCTGTGTGGGAGGTTAGTACGCTGTGATTTCAGTTGTGAGTTTAAGAAACACAAACTGTGGCGATTCTGGAGGATGAAGGGCTCCTGTTCAGGAGCTTGGGATGATCACACAATGTGGTTGATGCTTCAAGACAATGGTTGATTTCCAGAGGCTCCTAGTAGGTGCAACGAAACTCCCAGGGACTGTGACAACCTGAGGTCATACATTGTGGTAAGAGAGAGGGCCATGAGGTTCGCCCTCACGATTGACTTGGAGAAATCTGTCACCAAGACTTCCATGAGAGGTGATGGAGAGGAAAGCATGAAGCAGGATTGTTTGTAGCCAAAGGAGAAGGAGGCCATTATTCCCCATCTTTCTCAGCTGCTTCAGAATTCCTTCATGAGGCAGAGAGTTCTGTGCCTCCAATCTCAACAATTGCTTAGCGACATGACACGCTGGAAAGCACACATCTCGATCCAACATTGTGGCCTCACACAAAACACAGTCTCTCACCTCTTGCAAATGCAGAAGACATAGACATTTGGTTCCAACCTAAGCTTCCAATTCACACCTAGGACAGTTCATAAGGACAAACCCTTTGCCCTTGCAAATACAAACACTTAACTCGTGCACTGTCACCCAACCACATAATCGTGAAGTCCTCTTGCACTAACGTCAGCGGAACAGCAACAACAGAGGCCTCTTTGCAGGTTTGTTCAAGTCCTCTTGCACTAACGTCAGCGGAACAGCAACAACAGAGGCCTCTTTGCAGGTTTGTTCTTCCTCTTGGGAGGTTTGCTCCTTCCTCCCGGACAAGGGAGGTTGCCAGGATTCATGGCTACCTGCTGAGTGATGTGCCCAGCTGCCCCGTGCAGCAGGGCCCTTTCCTGGTCAGGATGGTGTTTCCTCATCCCTCCTGGAGATCTTGACTGGTGAGCTAAGATCGCATTGTAAGGTAGCGTTTGCTCCATGTTCCTGAGGTTGTATGCACTCTTTGGTCACCCATCCTTTTATGTTTTACACTTTCTGCCACATCCTTGAAGAGGTACAAAATCCACCAGTCAACTGCAAGCCCTTAATTGGATTGCGGGTCTTAGGGTTGGTCTCAATCCCTGATATCCTCCGGGTATGTAATGCTTTAGTACAACACCTGTGGAAGATGCATTGATCAGGATAAGGCTTACATCTACCTATTGTGGAACTTGGTTGGTATGATGCTTTTATGTGTGCCTTTGATTTCTCAAATGGAAATAAAGAAGAATGCTGGAAAGACTGAAGGCTGAAAATAGAGGATTTTATCTGGTAAAACCTTCTAAAGGCATACTTTATTTTTCTTTTTTTAGTTTTACAATTTTTTTATTTATTTTCCCCAAAGAAACCTCTTATTTAATGAATATAAATGTTACAAGTACAACTTTAGGAATAGTGTGATTATTCCTAATATACCCGCCCTCCTGCCCACACTTCCACCCCTTAACCTCCTCATTCTCTTCTTCCCAGTCTCATTCTCCATTAAGATTCATTTTCTATTTACTATGTATACAGAAGTCCAACTCTATACGCAGCAAAGATCTCAACACTTTGTACACGCACACACACACACACACACACACACAAGCTCTTTGAAAACCAGTTTTACAGTTGACTCAAATAATACAATTCACTAAGGACAGAGGTCCTCTATGCAAAGGTAGTGCACAGTGATGTCTTTTGTTAATTAACAATTAACTCTCTTTTTTATTTTTTATTTATTTGAGAGTTAGAGATACAGACAGTGAGAGGGAAAACAGAGAGAAAGATCTTCCTTCCATTGGTTCACTCCCCAGATGACTACAATGGTGGGAGCTGGGCCAATCCAAAGCCAGGACCTGGGTGCTTCTTCCATGTCTACCATGTGGGTACAGGGGCCCCAGCACCTGGGCCATCTTCTATTGCTTTCCCAGTCCATAGCAGAGAGCTGGATTGGAAGAGGGGCAGCCAGGACAAGAACCAGAGCCCATATGGGATGCCGGTGCCGCAGCTGGAGGATAAACTCACTGTGCCACGGACCCAGCCCCAACAATTAATACACTCTTACTTATCATGTCAGTGACCACTCAAGGCTCTTGACAGGAGCTCCCTAGGCTACGGAAGCCTTTCAAATAAACAAATTGCATCAATATTTCGGCAACACATTTGAGTGTGTTCCTCTGTGAGTAAGTACGATGCTTCAGGCATGAACATTTCCAATGGTTTCTTGTAGCTCAAATAATGTCACTGGTAATTATTAAAATGTCCTTGCTAGTCAGATCCACTTTATTTCAAAATATTTTACTTATTTATTTGAGAAGTAGTTACAGTCAGAGAAAAAGTTCTTCCAGTGCCTTGTTCACTCCTGAGATGACCACAGGAGAACGAGCTGCAACCATCCCAAGCCAGGATCCAGGAACTTTTTCCAGGCCTCCCTCACTGCTGCAGGGTCTGAAATACTTGACCATCTTCCACTGCTTTCCCAGGCAATAGCAGAGAGCTAGATCAGCAGAGGAACTGCTGGGAAATAAGCTGCTGCCCATATGGGATTCCAGCACCCCAAGTCGGGGCTTAGCCCACGACTCCACATTACTGGCCTCCAGTCAGACCAAGTAAACAGGAATGAGAAACATTTTAATTCTTTCCTTCTTTTTATGATTTTTACTTTTTTGAAAATCAGAATTGAGGTAGAGAGAGATAAAGAAAGTGTAAAATTTTTGTTATAGCAAAAATATTCATAGTAACCCTTTAAAAACTTTCTCCCTAGAAAAGTAGGATTCTATTTTTTTAGAAAAAATTTTGTCTATTTATTTGGGAGGTAGTTACAGACAGAGTGAGTGAGAGGCAGAGAGCAAAGTTTCCATCTGCTGGTTCCCTCCTCAAATGGCCACAATGGCTGGAGCTTGGTGGATCTGAAGCCTGGACGCAGAATCTTCTTCTGGGCAATCTTCTACTGTATTCCCAGTCCACAGCAGAGAGCTGGATGGGAAGAGGAAGAACATGAAAATCTAAAGACTTATTAGAATTCCTAGTTCATAGCATGGTCTGTTGCAAAAATAGACCTTTGGTGCTCTGGTCTGCTACTAAGTAGAAACTGAGGTGGCCTTGTAGATGAGTTCACCAGCTGTCAGGTGCCATTCCAGAATGGCAGCACCTCCTTTTTCAAAGACGTAGGCAACTGAATACACTGGATAATGACACGGTGCAGAGTGAATTTTTTCCTTAGGGAAAAGAAATATTCTGAAGGCAATTAATTGGTAGACAGTAGAGTGCATGGCTTTACAGAGGTAACTGCATGAAGCCTGATTGGATTGGAGATGATCAGATTGGATGACAGGTGTAATCCTGCCTCCTAGAAGCCCTATAAAAGCCAGCCTGGAATCCCTCCTCCCTCCCTGCATTGCCTCAGTTGTCTTGGGAGCCTCATTCTCTCCAGTGTTCTTTCTGCAACATCCACCCACCTGAGTCCCTGCAGACAGGCAGGAGGAGCACAGCTGGAGTGCAGGTGGGTTTCTTTTCAGAATTTTGTTCTACAGGTATCACTCAAGAAAAATAAAATGCAGGATAAGTGACACCTGGGGATAAGGCATTAGTTGTTTGGGATGGATTCTTTCCTGCATTTTTTAGTACAGAGAAGGATAAAATACATCAATGTAAATATTGTTTATTACCCGGAATTCTAAGGGTAATATACTCCAGTATCCTACTTTGTTTGTGGTAGTGAATGAGTAGTTATGGTAATTGACTAGCGTTTCATTATTTTAAGGTTAACACATTTCATATATTTTATATATACACATTCAAGAGCAGATACCTCCCACCCTAGCATCCATCTGCCTGCACCACCAACTTCATTCCACTTTTCTTCATTTTTCTTTCTTTAATTTCTTATAAGATTCATTTATTTATTTGAAAGTCAGATTTGCACATATAGAGGAGAATCAGAGAGAGCAAGTGAGAGAGAGAGAGAGAGAGAGAGAGGGAGAGAGAGGTCTTCCATCCTCTGGTTCACTCTCCAATCTGCTGCAAGGGCAGGAGCTGTACAGATCCAAAGCCAGGAGCCAGGAGACTCTTCTGCATCTCCCACATGGGTCTAGGGGCCCAAGGACTTGGGCCAGCCTCCACTGCTTTCTCAGAGGTCACAGCAGAGAGCTGGATTTGAAGAAGAGCAGCCAGGACTGCAGTAGCCGGCTTTACCAGCTATGCCACAGTGCTGGCTCCCTCCAGCCCCCTTTCTTTAATTCTTTTTTTTTTTGACAGGCAGAGTGGACAGTGAGAGAGAGAGACAGAGAGAAAGGTCTTCCTTTGCCATTGGTTCACCCTCCAATGGCTGCCGCGGCCGGCACGCTGCGGCTGGCACACCACGCTGATCCGATGGCAGGAGCCAGGTGCCTGCCTCCCCCTGGTCTCCCATGGGGTGCAGGGCCCAAGCACTCGGGCCATCCTCCACTGCACTCCCTGGCCACAGCAGAGAGCTGGCCTGGAAGAGGGACAACCGGCACAGAATCTGGCGCCCCAACCGGGACTAGAACCCGGTGTGCCGGCACCACAAGGCGGAGGATTAGCCTACTGAGCCGCGGTGCCGGCTGCCTTTCTTTAATTTTTAAAATCACCTCTTTTCAGGTTATTTATTTAGATGTGATTAACCATACATAAGTAAAGAACTCAACAAAGAGTGTGAAGAAAAAAAACAGAACAACTTTTTATCATGGGCCATTAACACTGAAATATTAAGGGTGTTTAAATATTTCATAGAAAACTACACTTTTTGGGAACCTTGTTGTGTGATTCCCTCAACACTCAGTACAGAGGTACATAAAGGAATTCTCTTTGTGTATAATTTTAAAATTCATTTAAAATTTTTTTTTTATTTGACAGGTAGAGTTAGACAGTGAGAGCGAGAGACAGAGAGAAAGGTCTTCCTTCCATTGGTTCACCCCCTAAATGGCCACCACAGCTAGAGCTATGCCGATCCGAAGCCAGGAGCCAGGTGCTTCCTCCTGGTCTCCCATGCAGGTACAGGCACCCAAGCACTTGGGCCATCCTCCACTGCCCTCCCAGGCCACAGCAGAGAGTTGGACTGGAAGAGGAGCAGCCAAGACCAGAACCTGGTGCCCACATGGGACACCAGCCCCGCAGGCAGAGGAATAATGAAGTGAGCCACTGCTCCAGCCCCTCAAAATTCATTTTTCTTCGAACAAAAAATCAACATCTGAGGAAAACTGATTTCCAAAACTTCCAGCTGAATGACAGATCACTATCCAGAGCATCTGACCCATGAGGTTCTTAAATCCCAGACATGAGAAAGCAACTAAGGGGACCAGT